TCTCTCTCTCTCTCTCTCTCTCTCTCTCTCTCTCTCTCTCTCTCTCTCTCTCTCTCTCTCTCTCTACCGGATGCGTGCGCACCCACCCACCCACAGTTCGTGTGTTTGTTTGAACCCCATGAAAAAAGCACGACTGTGCCAGACTGTTTCGCTGGACTTTCACCAACTCATCAGGAGGTTCAACCCTGAAAGTCTGCCCGTGATGCATTTGCATGCATGCGTGTGTTCGTGCTTGTGCGTGTGTGCGTGGATGTGCGAGTGTGCGTGCATGTGCTTGTTCGAGTGGACGGGCGGGCATTGTGTGTGCATGTGCTTGTTCCAGTGGACGGGCGGGCGTTGGTGCTGGTTGGACCTCAGTGCAGGGAAAGCGCCGCCCTGCAACGGCCAAAAACGCCCTGGCCCTCTACACAGGGCCCTACCGGTTGTCCAAAGATTGCGCGGCGATCCAAGCCGTTCCCAGCCCGACGGCCCGGATTGCCCGGCGATCTTAAAATTTTAAGATCGCGGGGCAATCCGGGCCGACGAGCCGGCAGGACCGCGAACGGCCTGGATTGCCGTGCGATCTTAAAATCTTAAGATCGCGGGGCAATCCGGGCCGTTGGGCCAGTAGGTCCGCGGACGGCCTGGATCCCAAAATTCTCACATTAGGAAGTTTTGTAAGTGTAGGGAAGGCTGCCCACATTGATTGTGGTTGAGCGGCAGCTGCCCACATCCCCGTGTGCCTTAACGGCCCACTTGCACGTTATTTCAGGAGGCACTGAGGCAGAGTAAAAGGGAAGGTATGCTCCTGTGCATTGCACTTCAGATCTTCATACTCCTGTTCATTTCACTTCAGCTCTTCAGCTTATACTTAGCCTTTGTGTCTGTTCTTCGTCTTCATACTCCTGTTCATTTCACTTCAGATCTTCATATCGTCTGTTCTCTTAACGATGCTCATTCGTATGTGTTTGCTGGTAGCACAAAGGGGAGGGTGAGGGGAGGGTGGAGGGAAAGAGATAGAAGGCGGAGTTCTATAGGAGTGTGGGGTAGGGGGAGGTGCGTGTGTGTGTGAGAGTGTGTGTGACAATGAGTGTGTGAGGGGGAGTGAGTGTGTGAGTGAGAGAGAGAGAGAGAGAGAGAGAGAGAGAGAGAGAGAGAGAGAGAGAGAGAGAGAGAGAGAGAGAGAGAGAGAGACTTACTGGGGCACCCAGAAGATCTGCCGAACCAAGAATCTTGTGGACCTCGTACAATGTCTGTAGAAGGTATAGGCGCTTTATGCAGCCCACCATTATTGACCGACTGTGAAAAGTGTTCTCCAGTGAGAGGCTGCAAGGAATTTCACAATAGAACATGAGTACCATGAGTTCCATCGTTCCTTAATTGTGAGCTCAACCTTTCTTAGTGCTTGTGCTGCTGTTCCTTAGGCTGATAGGTTGAGCAGATAAGGTCTGAAGGGCTTGGCCAAGGGATTTACATCTCTCGCATGGCAAGCATATGCCGTTCTCTTCGATTTGTTCAGATTGATTATGCCCAAGTGAGATAGTGAAAAGAAGGTCTACACAATTCGATTTCTCGTTTCCCGCTTTTCAAAGCTTCAAACTTTGAAATTCAAAGCTATACCACCTCTGGACCACCATTTGCAACCTTTTTCCACTGTTTCCAACATTCCATGCCTTCTTAATGACCTATTCCGCCTCAGCAGCCGAAGTCTTGAGTTATCAGACTGAGAACTGTCTATGTCTGTGTTCTTGGACTCAGAAAACCATGGGTTTCTGCATATTGTGTGGCATGCATGCCTTCCTTTGCAAATTCCTAAGCTTTGAGGGGCTGTAAGAGTATTTGTACTACCTGAACGCCGTAGACACCCCAGCCTGGGGTCGACAAAGAATCAAGCAAGAAGGATACACCTGAGACTCATTCTCCGTCGAGCCCCATTACACAGGTCCAAGTGAGTCTCGTCGGATAGGGACTAGAACAGACCAAAAAAAAAAAAAAAAAAAAAGGTAACATTCGGGTTAAGTATTCAATTGGCACGATGGACACATGAGAAGGCAACTTGTTAGAATAACACGGCAGATTTGAGGCTGTGCGCACCTGAAATCGTGCAGGGACCCCATAGGGACTCTCGGACCGCTGGTCTATCGACTTAGATACCGGCAAGGCAGACAAGTAGCTTTGAGAGAGAAGTACCGGATGCAACAGGGCTGAAATGAGGGCCTGCCATTGCTTCAAGCCCTTGTCAGCTAACTGATAGCAAAATTGCGCGGAAATCTCGGAAGGGGGTGGAGGAAGGGAGGAGTTGATTATGCTCTCTATATCTATTCTACTTGCCGGGTGACCACAAATTGCTTGAGTCGATTGGCTGTTGGAGGGGGTTTAAACTGTTTGCAGGTGCGTGTATGAGAGTGTGGCTGAACGACTGCATGGTAGTTGGATCATAACAGTCGGATTCATAAAATACATGGCACATGGATCATAACACTCGGACACCATTTAAACTCGATTCATCCTGTCCAAGCCTGGTAGAGCAGACAGCTGAAAGTCAGCATCCTCATGCCAAAATAGGGCAGTGGTCGCCCCTGGGTGCCCACTCCAGCCTACTGGAGGTCAGGCATCAGCCAAGCAAGTGACTGGAATAGAAGTACAGCCGATGTGGAGAAGGAGCTGGGAATGAGCCTGGCAATGGTGGATGGCCTCCTGGTTATGATCGAGGCCTGAGAGGTTATGGCCACATGCCTTCAACTTGCTTCAAGCTCCAAGGCAGAGGGAGGCCAGGTGGAGGGTGGGCAAGTGAAGCCAAGAGTCATGGGCTGGGGCAGTCAGCACGCATCAACTGAAGATATGGGGAGGATAAAGGGTGATTAGAAAGGCTTGAGTGATGCTTGACCGCCTAGTGAGATTATAGACTTAAGAGAGGTTCTTGAGTGACAAGAGACTGTTCTTAGTTACTTCTTGTTGGGAGTTGCTGGGAGACGGACTCAGCGTTCATTGTTCATTCTTTGCGAAAACTTGCATTGATTGTTTGAACTTTGAGGTACTTTGATAATAAAGAAGAGGATATTGAAAGGAGGAGGGAGAGAGAAGGTGGAGGTTAATGTTTTTTAGAAGCAGTGGTATTTCACTTGTGCCATACAGCTCCCACTTATTTCTACACCTCTCAAGTCATTTCACGGTGTCGAACTAGAGTCAAGCTCAACAGGGTCTTCGTTCCCTGCCGATTCTTCCACGAGGTGGAGGTTATTGTTTTGTTGTTTCTTGAGTTCCATTGCTCTCGTCTACTTCTTTTCTTCTTCCCTTCCTCTCATTCTCACTTCTCTTGTCATCACGATGCTGGCACAGACTCCATGAATGAATGCTGGCTGCTTTTATCATTGAATTGAGCAAGGATCACAACAAGTTGACACTCACCGAACAGAGTATTGCAACCAGCCCCATTGTCACTCACCCAACCACTAAAAGAGAAAATGAGAAACTTTTAGAAAGGAAGAACTTGCTGCTTACTGGCAGGTGGCCTTTAGTGTCACATTAATTTTACCGTTCTTTCTGACAAAAGAAAACCAGAAAGAACAAGAAAACACCCACACCCACACACACACACACACACACACATCAAAAAAAAAAAAAAAAAAAAGATTTTGGCATGGCAACCGTGGACCCGGACCCGGACATGTCTGGACCGAGGCCCAGACATTTGTCTGGACTGAGGCCCAGACATTTGTCTGGACTGGTTCAGAGTCCGCTAATCTGGACAGGCACCGGACAACCGGACAAAACAGGACCCAGATCATCCGGACTGGTACACCAGACACAAAAAATGTCCGGACTGGAAAAAAAAAGAAAAAAAAAGAGTAATAAACAGTACTAAACACAGCTTACTGTCTTTCACTATTCACAACTTATACTGTCACAGACATTGAGAAGCTCACACAACACTTGAAACCAGTTCTCAACGGACCAATCCCAAGTCACTTCAGAAAAGAGTACGAAAATCAGCAGATTCAGCACGAAACAGAACTTTGAACTTTGAAGTTAGACTTTCGAATTCATATTCATATGAAAATTGAAAATTTAAACTGTTAAGTTATTCAGATCTGTGTAAGAACAGATCTGACCAAAATCATGTCTCTCTCTCTCTCTCTCTCTCTCTCTCTCTCTCTCTCTCTCTCTCTCTCTCTCTCTCTCTCTATGTATCTAGCTTGATGTTCTTGTGGTGCTTTGCAGCCAGCGCTTCATTTTCAGAATCAGACTCATCCTCAGCCGATGAACTACCAGCGTAGTACAACAGCAGAGGGAGCTGTTGGAGGCATCTGGCGGTGTCTGGTAGGCCCTGAAACGGCCAAAAAAATACCGTGGGCATTTTTTGGGGGCGGCCTAGGACCCGAAAAATGTCCTGGCCCCCCCCCAATTTTTTTTTCGAATTTTTCAAAATTAGGCCCAATCCGGACCTACCGGACCAGACACCGGACCCATACCCAGACAACCGGACCGTCTGGATTCCGGTCCAGACGTCCAGCCGGTTGCCATGGACTTTGGGGAGAAGCATCTATTTTTAGATGAAATAACTCCCACCTGTTTGATAGTCAAAACTTCTCAAAAGACTCAAAATATTTAGCATGGAGGGGGGAAGGG